CCCCCGATTCGATCAATTCGAATACATGCGAGGATAATAATGACGCTGATAAATACGTAAATAAATACCGTGCTCCACGCCGCACAATGCGGCCAAACGATATTTTGTGTTTCGAAAAAGGTTGCAGCCTCTCGAAATTTTGGCAGAGTTCAATGCTGTTTTTTTAATGAAAGCTAGTGAAATATAGAACAATTTTGTCAAGGAAGCCCAAGAAAGGTACGCAAAAAAGATGTTAAATATTTTAGAGAATTTAATACTCAAAAACGCGTAATAGAGTTGTAATAAACCAAGACATTGTAAATAAGCTTTTGATCTGCTCAGATCTTTACATAATTACAATTATTTTATTCGCAATAAATGAAATAGAGTTATCTACTGTTTGGTTGAAAGAGAATTTCTAAACTTAACTTTTTTGTGTCTAATTTAATAGAAAGAAAATAAAAACAAAAATCTGACAAAGTTGTTCTAAATTTCATTAACTTTCAAAAAGAGAAAAGCATCGAGATCGGCCCGAATTTCGAGGCTTTGTAGCCCCTTTTGACACGAAATGTCATTTGACCTCATTATGCAATCTACTTACCGACGCCGAGTACTCCGGATTAATGCAGGCGCCATCCAAAAGCATGCAACCTTGATAAATAAAGGACGGATCCTGGTCGTCGTCGTCCCGAATGTTGACTGTCAACGTAGTCGTGGACGTGAATCTTTCACTGATGTTCCTCGCCCGATCCTGCAGCCAAGCAATTAGAGCACGCCGAGTTAAATGCAAATCGTGACACGTCGCGAATGATGTCGGGGATTTCGACTACCAACGCATTTCTACGCTCCACGGGCGTAACTCACTTATTATTACTCGCTGCCTTATCATAATCTTATCACATGATTCGTCGAATACTTTTCATAATCATAATACGAACATCCTCAAGATCCCTTGAACAATTTACTTAAAGATGACATATGATGTCATTTAGTTATTCTTCATTAATTTCTTGTCGATCTATGCATTTCGTATCTGTCCTCATCGTGGAAAGAAGCATGACAAAATACCGATGAAAATATATCTCCAGCCAGTTTTTTCTCCTTGTGGCTCATAAATAAAAGCCTGGACGGCGCGCAAAAACGGACGCCGGTCGACGGCGAATCACGGTAGACGTGCAAAAACGATAACACGCCATTAATCTCTGCGATTCCGATGCGTCACGATCATATTGACATTTTCAATAGTCGCCACGTGCACCAAAAGGAATATGTAAACGTTACAGTTCCTTTTTTTCAGCCTCATACCACTACGGCTCTGTATACCAGTTCTGCCGTCGCCTCGGGAGAGAGCCTCCCGTTCCTTTCTCCCTCGTCTCTTCCGCTCTCTTCTGTGACCCTATTTATGCGATAACCGGCCTGAGCTGCCTACAGAGCGTTTTGAATAAACGTATCGCCACAACTTCTTCTGTGCTAAGTGAGAAGGTCGCGGGACAAAGTTTTGAACTTCAGATCACATTGCGATTCATAAAACGCAAATTGCAGCGCAATTAAGTTATAATGATAACGTAACGTTTTGCCTTTTTCAACGGGCGAAATCTCTCGTGACTTCGTAGGCTCTTCTCCTTTTTTTCTTTTTTTATAAAACCGATCATCTCGCGGCGCGATGCGCACGATACGACTCATTGAAACGTCCGCGTCACGAGGTTTCCTCGTGATAGAGTTTTTCTACGCGAAGGGAGGCAAAACACGCGGAGAGAACAAACACGACGCCGACGCCATCAGCTGTCAACGCGAGACCTCTCACTCAACGTCCCGCGCGCGAGTCGGCGCATCGCGCGACGCGAAGCGCAAAACGTTAAGTGAGAAGTATTTGCGCGTGAGTCATACACACACGTCAAGTCCATACACCAGAAGCGCATCGACGCGGAACGTTATCCCTCGTGGCGGATCGGGCGCACGTTGCGCCTCACTAAAAGGAGCAGTGCCCGAGCCAGAAGTCGGTCATTTGTTCCACATAATATTCAAATGAGCCGCACCTGCAGCGCGAGCGCGCGCCGAGAGCGCGGCTTAATCCGAATCGAGAGATCGATCGCGTCGTCGACGGGGAAGATTCGCCGCGATTATGCGAGACCGTGCCCGATTTATCTCGTGGCTCTCGGGAGAGCGAGAAAGCGAAAGACTGAGGGAGAAGGAGAGAGAAAGAAAGGCAGAGGAAGAGAGCTCCTCTGCGCGCGGCGGCGGGATATAACTATTACCCTTGACCACGGTGCGCGCCGACGCTATATCCCGTATGCCAATAGTAATAATGGTGCATCCGCCGGCTCATTTGCCTTTTTCATTTCGTCCCGCTCACGGGGATCAGCCCCGCTCGGGGGATCGTTTAATGACATCGTTGCCGGCGCGTAGCGCACCACCTTCTGGTTCAATTGCATTTTTGCTTTTCCCTCGACGCCGATTACGTGCTCGTGCAATTTCGAACATGCACGAAATTGCTAGTAGCGTCGAGGAGAAGAACGTAGAATTCCTCGAGTTGGACATCGTCCGCCATTTGTAGGGAGAAAGTGCGTGAGGGAATAAGAGGAAGAGAGAAAGAGAGAGAGCTTCGTGCTTCGTCCTTTCAGTCCTAAACTGGTTTCCTCTCACTTCTACTAGAGTTTCTCTCTCACTCGCGCTCACGCCGAACCTAAAAATGGCGGATAGGATGCGGACCAATCAGGAGTCATCATTCTTTGTTCTAAGTCTGACTAGAGGAACTCTAGGAGCACGAGGACGAAGCTAACGACGGCGACGGAGGTAACGACGGATATACGTCTCGTGAATGTCACGAGATAGTAATGCACCGATGTAATCCATTCTGTCGAGAGCACAGCTCTGACCTGTGCAAGTCGTTGATCTCGGATGATATTCTCTGTTAAATACAAAAACTGCTACCTGGGATTAGATTTCAGTGAAAATCGACGCGGCGACAGTAAACCAAGAGAACATTATTACAAGAGGTAACTGCCTAAATGGAAATTATTAGAATAAAATAAAATTGTCGAAAAGATAACTTTTGAACAAATGGTGGAAGCAGCGAACAAAATGATATTGCATGCAGCTAATTAATTAATAACAACTGTATGGCTTGAATAAACTATGAATCTGTCGACAATGAAATTTAATCGCATCGTAATTGATATTATTAATTATCTTCTTTTTAGTAGAATAATTAAATTGTATGAGCCTGAATAATGTTTCAATGTAATATGCCGCAGTAATCGCAACAGTATGATGACGTAATAGAATCGATCCCGTGAAACAGTCGCTCAAAGTGACGGCTAAATGATCGCTTACAAGAAGCCATGGCCGGAGGCGGCTCTAAAACTAACGAGATCCCAAGATGGAGAGCATCTATTGTGGTCTAGCGTCAGGCCTTCACCCATGCATCTTTCGGAAGGAAAAAGTGCTTGTTCCTGTAGTCTAGCCTAAGGAAAATATTTATTGCGATCCACTAAGGTCTTTGCACCGGCGAGGATAACTTAAGCATTCGCTCAGTGCGCCCCACGGTAGAGCCGCTTCCAGCTACGATCGCTATCGAATGAGGTCTTGAAGATACAACTACAAGTCGATCAGTTCTGATTTGGAAAAATGCTACGTTCAATTATTCTACTTTATGAGAGACGAAACTTCTCTCTAACTTTCTCTAACTTTAAGTATATATAAATGGAATTTTTCTTCGCCTCTAAAAGAATTCTCTTGAAACCAAAAGATACCACCAAGGATGAGATTGTATTTTCTTGAGTGTAACATTCGTGAGTGCAACGAGCGAATGAAACTCTCTACTCGCGCGTTTTCCTCTCGAGAACCATCGAGACGCGAGGGAATCAGGAAGATTTAAATTGTCGCGCTCTCCGTCTCGAACACATCGTTCAACTTAGGCTAAACGATCGAGCGCGCGCGCTAAAATCAACACTTCCAACAGACACGTTCGTATCGGGTGTGGAAAACAAAACGCCACGACGTTACTTTCTATGATTGATCTCTGGTTATTTATCTTCGGTCCAGATTTCAGCGAAAGTAGACTCGGCCGTTCGTACGTGCGACGCGCGAAATAATTCACTCACCGTTGACAAATCAGCAATGTCATCGCCAATGCCGTCGCCGAGGCTCGGACTAATGCGTATTAAAGCGACAACCAGAAACGCTCTTAGCGAACCAAGGAGCTCCATTGTCGGTGTCACGAGTCACGTTCAGTCGATGGTGCGTCTCGAATCCGACTCCATACAGGTCTTTGCATTCTCGTTGAAAGGCGCGACGCGTCAAGGAACGGATTAACAGCCCCGATAATGAGAGGATCTTTTCGGCAACGACACGTCACGAGACTAGAGAGAACGAGATAGAGAGAGAGAGAAAGAGACAGAGATGCCACGATCCAGGATCCAAAGGAATCTCGGGAATTAGCACATAATAAAGCGCAGTGACGATAGGCGTGTCCCTCGCTATCGTCCCACATGCAACCGGCAATTCCTGCGTCGATCGTTGAGTCGTGCATGCATCCTTAGCGCGCGGGCCGTTAACTGCGCTCGTTAAGTTACGACATTCCTATGGGACCATATAAATCATGCCTCCTTTAATCGACCAGACGAAATACGTTCTCAACTCGTTCACGCCTCGAGCCTACGTTAAGCGAATCCGCCGTATACCGTGGAATTAGCGATTAAGCGACGTTTTTAACGGCGCGCTGCTAATCATTCGTAATATTAAGCCATGGTGATTCCGCTGCGAAACACGAACGCATTCCCCCAGCCGATAAAACGAACTTTATATTATTTCAAACATCGCGAATTTTTCAGCACACACACACACACACACACACACACACAGAAAAATCACCCTACTGCTGAGCAAAACGATTGCTTTACTTTTCTTCTTCTAAGCAATAGTTATCTTTAGTTTCATCATTAGTTTCATCAAGAATATCTTCTTGATAATAATCATCAAATAAATGTAGTCATCACAAATTTTAGAAAAACTCATGATATTATTATACGAAAAAAAAATTAATTGGATTAATCAATACTTGTGATCAACTTTTGTGATAGACTTGCGAATATACGAACTTGTGCAGTAACCTGCAGCAAGTAACATTTATTCAGACGCAGTGTCCATTTTTCTGTGTGCACATGGCACAAATTGTACATGCAATGTGCATTCGCGCCAATCTTTGCATTATTGGTAAGGCGTCGATACTTTATGCGCCGCCAATATTTCCATTTCCTCGTCTCGCGATATCTTTCCCGTTATTCCCTCCATTGTCGGGCCGGCGCGGCGCATCTTTCATTATTGAGAGCTCTCCGCGAGCGGCGAGTGTCACTTTGAGAGCGACGAGTCATTTTGAGAGCGCATTGTCGAGCGATGAACCGCAAGAAGAGAGCAAATCTTCGATGTTACGGGCGACGTATCGGCGTGATCGAGTTGTTCCGCGATGTTTTCAGCGCGGCAACCGTCCACGTCATCGCGGCACCGGGGGATTAGGCTTTACGTAACGTTGGATCATTTACATCGGTATCATCGCGGACGGCACGGAATATTCCGTCACGTACGGAATGGCCGATGCATCGTCGCAGTTTCGTCCGCCTACAATCTGCGAAACGCATCCCCAAGCGTCGGTACCCGATCATGCGTGCGGATCGACCAACGGCCGCGAAATCGGCGCCCCGCGGGCTCTCCGCAAACTTTCCGACTGCACTTTGCGCGATCTGCACACACACA